TTTGACAAGTTTGACTGTAAAATATAGGAAAAAGGGAATATTCGCTGGATTTTATTTTAACTGAAACATTCCTTCAGCGAAAATAGCAAAAAAATGTTGCAAGCAAAAATAAAGTATTTTACAGTAATTAATCTATTCTGAGCATGCGCAGACGTTCTGTCAATGTTGCCGGGAGAGGTAATTTTTGATAAAAATCGTGAAAAAGACCCACTTGGGATTTTCAGATCTGGAAAAAAAATTACGTGCATACTCGGAAGACACTTGTTCATCAACCTGCCAAGTTTCACTGATACCTGCTGTAGAATTTCTGAGAAAATGTTGGAGACGGAAAAAGGACAAAACCTGAATTATAAGTCCCCTTTTCAGGCTGCGCCTGAACGGGGACTAAAAAAATAAAAAAATAAAGCCCAAACTAGGATCTCATTTCAATCAGATTGATTCACAACATACTTCAGCATTGTAATTGAAAATATTGTATGACAAAAAGCAAAATTACAATAATGACAGAATGTTTTAACAGTCTTTTGCTACTAAAATGCTGTTCTTTGCTACATCACCTGTGAGTATCCAATGGCCCCAATGATAATGGTATGATCTGATGAGTTGAACCAAAGTTAAAGCAAAGTTAGCTGAATGGTTAGCTGGTTTGCTGACTGTTCTGCAATGTATGTTTCTGAAATATTATGGTGCCCGTTGTAAGGTGAGGCAAAATAATGCCTTCTTCTGTCTAGAATATATAATGAATATCATATTTGATGGGTTCTAAAATATATGCACCAATTAAAATAATTGCACTGTTACATTTCCATCCATAGTCGACTTGGCCAGTACATTAAAAACAACATGAATATTACTGACTGTAAAAGGAGCCTATCACAAAGTTTTTGATAATATTTGGAAATGCTAAAATAGTTCACACAGTTGTTGCTATATCATAAATATCATAAAAAATATCCATTTCAGTGCTTACGAGACACAGATGAGTTGTACAATATGATGAGGCGTAAAACTAAAATCAAGGTTAATAAAAATGCAGTTTTTAATGCCCCACACATTTTATCCCCGGATGATCCCTCCCCTTCTTATTGGAGACTTTAAACTGAAAACGAGGCTTCAAGCACATGTAAACACCGACATAACATGCTTTTTTTTTATATCAGCACCCCCAAATGTTGGTCTGGCACATTTTTACTCAGCAGATGAACTCTTCCTTCATTTTAAGAGAGGTAATGTTTTGCAATAATTTGAAAAAAACGAGGCTAAACGAACCCATAAACGCCCGTATAATGCGCATTTTCGCAATCAGCACTCCCAAATTTAAAAAAAGCTGGTCTACCTGGGACGTTAAATTTCAGGCAGCCTCAATATAGTATAAGAACGCAAGCGAGACCGTCCGGGGCTGTCCGATGGTAATAGGCCAGATGTGAGTTTGTTTTCAATGTTGTCACAAGATCTAAAATAACTATAACTGTGAATAGCCAAAAAGGGAAGAAAAAATGAGATAATAATGTTTATATACCTGACTATTCTGACAGAATGGACAACCTATGATTTCTAAAGAATCTCTATAATCTCTGCTGCCTGTGTGGAAACATGGAGTTCCGTTCGATGATTGAACCAACCACAGTCCCTCTATCACGGGACTGTGAACCAACCCTGTTCGCCTGTGCTAAATTTGACCGCAATGCATTAAACCAAGTTACCTGTATTCACGGCAGAAGATTTGATACATACAAGATGTATATGCAGCGTCGCATAGAATCACCAAATAACAGGTAAATTTCTGTGAAGATCGGATAATATCATATCATATTAGTACACAACATTTGTTAGCCGATGTTTGATCCTAAGGTGCGCCCTCAATAAACCTTCGAAAAGGTCAAGGTACTTTGGCTGACCCGGAAGAATTTGATGAAAGTGGCGCGGTTAAGGTATGTTTTGTTGAGACATGTATCAGTTAGTGTTTAGCGTAGTTTTAATAATTATGAGTTAAAGTTGTAAGACAGTTATAAAAGATCGTTTAGCTGTTAACTGATAGACCAATACACTGTCTTTGTTTCCGGCTGCTCGACTGGATTTTGGAGATCGAGCAGCACTCCTATAAGGGGTGAACCATTTGACATCCTGGGGGAGGGCAAGTGGATTGCGAAGTGTGCAATTTTATTTTTTCAGTCAGTCGTCACCGCTGGGAATTTATATTCGCTTTCTTTAACGCAGCAATTCGTTTTGCTTGGCAATTAAATTTGTTTTTTTGTTCTTTTGCATTTAATAAAAAAGTGCATGTCTTCTCTGTAACACATATCAGATAGAAAAAGAACAAACAATTGTGATGTCTATGCCTAACACATAAAACATTCTATTTACTGAAGCAAGACAAATTTTATTTATATTATGAGCAATAAATCCCTGTCAATTCCTTTAGGCCTATTGTGGATTTTGTGGACACCTAGATATTTATGCCATTAAAGCTTAATTGGTACATAGATGCTCTAGGACTATGCACAAACCTCATTTGTTTTGGGCAAAAATTGGTGCATATTAATTATCTAATTTACATAATAATTCATAATCACATTTCAATGAAACATGGTGTGTTGATGGTATGTGACATTGCACAAACTTTATTAGTTTTACATTAAAATCTATGCATATTAATTACCTGATTTGCATAATAATAGTCAGTTTTGTGGTAGAGGTGCTCCTGGATTGATTAGACTGAAAAAAAAAAATATTATAAATTTTGATAATGTGGATTACGTTGTTTTCATGCTGTGCATCTCAAATAGCAAACAAATATTAGTATTAACCAAACTTCTTGTTTGAAAGGCTAATCTTAAATTTTTAATTTATTAACCCCTCCTTCTATAAGCCAGCTTTTGATAATGAAAAGTTATTTTCAATATATTTTTACATTTAAATTCTATAATAGTATTAATCACAACGGAATATCGACATTTGATACATCAAATTAAAGAATTTGTGACTAGATTATTTCACAATTGTTTTCCAAAAATAAATAAAAAATGGCTGCCACAAAAACTTGCCAATATGCTGCATATGGTTACCATGTACTCTGTTACTCACATCACAACAACTATTTAGTTTGCCCATGAAGTCTTACAATGAACTTGTTAAAATGGTTCATACCTAATTTGACCATAGTTACTGCGTACAACAGTTAAGATAAATCAGTCAAAACAATACTTGTAAACAAATGCTTAAATTTTAAGCTTGTTATGCAGGAACTTCAAGATGGCAACCAAATCACATGACTGATCAAGTTAAAGTTCTCCTGAGAAACAAATGTCCCAAATGTTTGCATTTTTGACAAGATGACAATGTAATCATGTGACTGATTCAAATTATGACTAGTTTCAAAATAATTGCATAAATCAGTAAAAATTTATCTACTTCCTGTCTAGAAAAAATCAAAATGGAAGCCAAACCATGTAACTTAACACAAAGAGCTGTGTAAATTTTAATGAGCATATCCCCGGTAGATGCTAAAAAACAAATTTTAAATCACTGTGTTCTGTAGTTCTAAAGATGAAGATTTTCAAGTTTTTTTCCCCCTTTTTTGGGGAAAAAAACATGACAGACAAGTCGCATCATACATGAAATAGGTAGCCTATATATCAGTGATACTACAAAAAAATTCAGAATGCCAAGGCCCTCGTGAAAACATGTTTTCTAGAAGAGGGAAGTCTGGAAGGTTATGTTTGGTATGAAATGACAGCTGGTATAGTAGAGTGAATCAATCTGTGAATCAATGTTAATTTGAACACTTCCTATATTGTGTGCTGAGCTCCAAGATACCCTGGAATTTGTCTCTTGTACAGTTTTTTTTGTGAGGAGATGAGTGGGGCTTACCTTTGTGGTGTCTGAGCCAGACAAATTGTATATCCCCCTCTCTCCAAATATTAATTCATCAACATCAATATATGCTAAAAACTAACATTTAATTTCTCTCTCACAAGATCTATTTATTAGGTACTTGTTTTTGTAGCTAGGTATCATGGCAAAAAGGGAAAAGAACACAGATATGTTATGGGACATGAAAGTGATGCTAAGTGAATGTGAAGGAATAGAATTATGGGTTGCCAGTAATATAGTAGATTTAATTGAAGATGGCTGTACAATCCCATTTATTGCAAGATATAGGAAAGAACGTAGTAATAATATGGAAGCTGATAAACTAAGAACTGTTGTCAGTGGTTATGAAAAGCTCAAGTAAGTGCATTTTATTTTATTTCTTGTATTTTGCTTGCACTTGTTTTCAACTTAATGTTTTTATTCCCAATTCAATGTTTCCATTCCCAATCCAATGTTTCCACTCCAAATTCAATGTTTTCATTCCCAATCCAACGTTTTCATTCCCAATCCAATGTTTCCATTCCCAATTAAATGTTTTCACTCCCAATTCAATGTTTCCATTCCCAATCCAATGTTTTTACTCCCAATTCAATGTTTCCACTCCCAATTCAATGTTTTCATTCCCAATTCAATGTATCCATTCTCAATTCAATGTTTCAACTCCCAATTCAATGTTTCCATTCCCAATCAAATGTTTTTACTCCCAATTCAATGTTTTAAATCCCAGTTCAATGTTTTCACTCCCAATTCATTGTATCCACTCTCAATTCAATGTTTCAACTCCCAATTCAATGTTTCCATTCCCAATCGAATGTTTTTACTCCCAATTCAATGTTTTTACTCCCAATTCAATGTTTCCACTCCCAATTCAATGTTTCCACTCCCAATTCAATGATTTCATTCCCAATTCAATGTTTCCACTCCCAATTCAATGTTTCCACTTCCAATTCAATGTTTTCATTCCCAATTCAATGTTTCCAATCCCAATCCAATGTTTTCACCCCAACTTCAATGTTTCCACCTCCAATTCAATGTTTCAACTCCCAATTCAATGTTTTCACTCCCAACTCTATGTTTCCACTCCCAATTCAATGTTTTCACTCCCAACTCTATGTTTCCACTCCCAATTCAATGTTTCCATTCCCAATTCAATGTTTAAAATTCCAATTCAATGTTTTCACTCCCAATTCAATGTTTCCACTCCCAATTCAATGTTTTCACCCCCAATTCAATGTTTCCATTCCCAATTCAATGTTTTAAATCCCAATCCAACATTTTCACTCCAAATTCAATGTTTCCACCCCAAATTCAATGTTTTCACTTCTAATTCAATGTTTTAAATCCCAATTCAATGTTTCACTCCCAATTCAATGTTTCCACTCTCAATTCAATGTTTCAACTCCCAACTCAATGTTTCCATTCCCCAATCCAATGCTTTTACTCCCAATTCAATGTTTCCACTCCCAAC